CGCTTGAGCCCAGGAGTTGGAGGTTGCTGTGAGTGTGATGCCATGGCACTCTACCCAGGGGGATAGCTTGAGGCTCCGTCTCAAAAAAAAAAAATAATAATAATAATAATAGAAAAGGTCTACATGTGGCAACTTTATAAGATTATCTAGAACGCGGTTTCAAACAGAAAGTTTAGAGTGCGCAGTGTTGAGTATAACCCCAGAATCCTCCTATATGTCAATCTGGAATAAAAATAAAAAGCCAGATTTAATCAGCTCGGGGCCAAGTACTCATGTCCAGATTCTAAGACTGTGTGGTAAGAAAACAGCCTGTCCCTCTTATCTGCACAAAATCTCCCACCTCCACAAATCCTCTGAGTTTCAGGCCAAGGAAAGGGAAAGGGTCCTTCTTACCAAAACAACAGACTAGCCTGGAAATATTAAATTGACTCAGCCGATGTCTTATTAGGCACAGCTTAACAACTCTGAGTTTACAAAACTCAGCCAAACAGCATCAGGCTTCAGCATAAACTTTTGCTAACTAGCCCACATAGTTCCCATATGCTACGAGATGTTGTTTGAGCCAACTCGGTACCTTATAATTATAAACACACGTCTTTCAGCTCTTCTGAGTATTCTTCCCAGGCAGAACGGAAATATGTCACTTAAATTAGCACTTGGAGTACAGAGTGGGTGCCAAATTTGGGTTAGCACAAACAGGATAAATAAAGCAGCACCAAATTAAAATGGTAAAATAAACTTCTTTATGCTCCAGTGGAAACTGCTAAGTCCTAGCTGAATGGCAGCTAATGGGTCTGGGGAAAGGATATCCCTCAAACTGTAGCTCTTGGCTTTTGAATACAGTTTTCTCATCCAAGGATCTCGAAGTAATTTCTTGCAAAACTTGAGTAGTGTGAAAAAAAAAAAAAAAAAAAAGCAGATGCTATTTCTTTTGCAAACTCTCTGCCACCATTTTTCCTCATCATTCCCTACCAATAATACTGGGGAGGTTTACATTTTTATCCTTATATAACTCATGAGGAAAGGGCGAGATTTTAGAGGAACAAATGAGGGTACATAGGAATGCGATATCTTGGCAAAAGCCACACAGCCAGAAATAATGCAGAAATCCAAAACGTCCTACAAAGGCAAGCCTGTGTGCCTATTCTGTGTAATTAGAGCTATCACTTATTGAGCACCTACTGTGTGCCAGGGACTGATGTGAAAACCTTTTATATACAATCTCACTTGCCTCCCACCACCCTGTGACAGAGGAATTATCATTTCCCTTTTATTCCTGAATCCTAAATGGGCTCTGGGAACAAAAAGAGGAGGGGGCTGGAAATGGCACAGAAAACAGAGGACCGGCAAAAATAAAAGAAAGAGTTGATGGCAGCTTCATTCACGCTGACAAAAACCTACCAGTAGGGGGAGAATAGCTTAAACAAACAAAAGCCATGGCATAGTCAATTGATGGAATATTACCCAGCAGAAAAAAGGGAAATCAGTGATAACAAGCATCAACTTGATGAATCTTTTTTTTTTTTTTGAGACAGGGTCTTGCTCTATTACCCAGCTTGTAGGGCAATGTCATCATCACAGCTCACAGCAACCTCTAACTCCTGGGCTTCAGTGATCCTCCTGCTTCAGCCTCCCAAATAGCTGGGGCTCCAGGTACATATCTGCATGCCCAGCTAATGATTCCATTTTATTGTAGGGTCTTGCTCTTGTTCAGGCTGGTCTCAAACTCCTGGCCTCAAGCGGCCCTCCCACCTAAGCCTCCCAAAGCTCTAGGATTACCAGCATGAGGCACCACACCCTGCCTCAACTTGCTGAATCTTAAAACCATTTTTCTGGGTAAAAGAAGTCTTCTAGAAAAGAGTGAAATTATTTTTGATTCATTTTTTATGAAGTTTGAGAATAGGTAAAAGTAATCCATCATGGTAAAATATCAGAATGGTGGTTATTTCTCAAGTGGGGGCAGGGGTTGGTGAAGAAGGAACAGGAAAGAACTTTCTGAGATGACTGCCACACTTTCTATCTTGACAGGGTTACCCAAGAGTATTCATTTGTCAAAACTCATCTGATCATACGCCTAAGATTGTCGTACAGTTCACCGTGCAAAATTTTACCTAAAAGAAACCCAGGGATTGCAAACAAATATTGAATTCTAGCTTATGATACACATGCTGAGGGATTCAGGGGAAAGTACTGATGTCTGGTATCTAAAACTTGCTTTGAGAGCATTAAAAACCCACCCCGACTGATGAAGACAGAGAGAGACAGGTGATCAATCAAGTTTACTAAAATGCTCTTGACAGAATCAGGGTGGCAGGTCAACAGGTGTTACTGTAGAATTTGTTCAACCACATGTATTTCAGTATTTTCACAACATAATGTTGGGAAATACAAGAATAGGGAGAGAGGACAGAATATGAAGGGAAATGAAGGAACGAAGAGAAAATAGAAGGACTGGAAAGGAAGGTCCTGGACAGAAATACAGAAAAGGAAAAACAGAAGGAAGTCGAGTTGGAAGAGGCCAGAAAGTATGCACAGAAATCACAGGAGGAAAACATAAATAAAAGAATGATTAAAAACAAGGGGTGGGTGTCACAAGCAAGGAGCAAACTGAGGGGAAGTGAAAGGCAAGAAAGGAGAAAAGTGGTGTGTAGGCTGACGGCAGATGCAGCCCAGGAGTGGAGAGTCTTTTCCAAACAACAGCTCAGTGGAGCTGAACTATGACCGGCGCAACCCATCTCATGGCTGTCAGGCCACCTCCATTTGGTGGTGCACTTGGTTGGAATCTAGATGAACAGGGTGCAGAGGATTCGAATGTCTTTTGTATTAAACCCACAGACCCATCCAAAGCCCAAAGGCTAGCAGAAACATGCATCCTGAAATGGTTTCCAAACATCGTTGTTTAACAACAGAACTTCTTTAAATAAAAATTTTATATTTATAAATTGCAAGAATGTAATAGGCAAAAAGGGAATTGCACTGGTCAAGGGAGGAGGCACAGAGACGAGCCCCATGTGCTGAATTGACCCAACACTTCTCTCTGCCCTGGACCCAGCCCAGGGACAATTCCAGGGTCTCTACAGATACATAAGGCTCTGAAGACAGGCTAAGTACAAAATCTACTGCACTAAAAAGCACAAGATGAGGTCACAATTCTGCCACTAACTAACTGGTGAGTCCAGGCAAGCCACTGAATCAGCCAGCACCTTGCCTTTCTTATCTCCATCTGCCTTGTCAACCACTCTACAGTAAGAGGCTCAAATGAGGCATCACTGACGGTATAAATTTTTAAACACTTTGCAAACACCTAGCTATTAGAACTCCTCTTTGCTATAAATGTGTCACATCTGTTAGCAGAAGTCTGGTTCAAGATAACCTCCAGCTAGCAACCCCAATGCAGAGAACAACCATCAAAGAGGATGTTCATAGCAACACTAAAAATGACTTCTAAAATGTATCTCAAGTTCATCTATTCCTTTCCATCTATACCACCCCACCCCTCATCTAAGTCATGCTAATTTACTTTCTATACCTCTGGAAGAGCCACCCTAACTATTCTTGTCGTTAAGGTTTCTACTTACATCCTAGTGTGTTTCTGTTACAACCTGTCTCAAACTACCTTCCAGAATGTTCTCCACGCAGCAATCAGGGAAAACCTAGATAATTTTGTGGAACAGAAGCTTAAGATGCTCTCTTAGAACATAGAGCGGAAGGACAAAGAAATACAATAAAAGAAGCATAAAACAGTAATGGAAATATTTTTCTGAGTTGAAGAAATGTAGGTAGATTTTTAAAGTTTATGAAAAATCAAGGTATTATCAGACTTTCCCATCACCACATTAAATGCTAGAATACACTGGGAAAAGTCTAAATATTTTTAAATAGAAA